CTCTGGCCACGCTCCAGCCCCTCAATGTCCTTCTGGGAGTGAGGGGCCCAAAACTGACCCCAGGATTCGAGGGGCGGCCTCATCAGTGCCCAGCACAGGGGAAGGATCCTGCCCTGCTCCTGTTGGCCACGCTATTCCTGATACAGCTCCATCCTCATCCTCTCTGCTTGCTGCTCTCCTCCTGGAGCATGAAGGAGGTGGCACCCACATCCCCAGGGCACAATGCCCCTAGCATCCTGAACCACCACCCCCTGCTCCAGTGAGCACCCATGGGTGCTGCAGGTGTGGAGGATGCTCCCGGAGGTCACCCAGGCTCCCCACAACAGAGCAGTCCAGGAGGTGCCGCTGAGCCCCCGCAATCCCCACCAACCTCTGTGCCTGACTCGGGGATGAAGCTTTTAATGGTGACGGTTTTCCCTGGAGCAGGGAAGGGTGATTCCCGCAGGCCTTGCATGAAGGGGTAAATCACTGCCATGGAGATCTGGCGCCGCTTCTCCACCTCGTCCAGAATCTGGGGGAGAAAAAACATGAGCTGTGACACCCCAGCAGGCAAGGGGGGCCTGCCTGGGCCACCGTTGTGGCAGAGGAGGCCACCACATCCTACCTTGGAGAAAAGCCCGAAGCAGCCCAGGCAGCTGATGATGCAGAAGACCTCGGGAAGGCGGACACCACGGCCCGATGGCTGCAAGAGGATGGGAAAGGGGTTTGAGCATCCCCCAGCCCCACTGCACTGGGTCCCAGCAAGTCACTGAGCCATGGTGTACGGCCCTGTGGCTTTGTGTCCTGACTTAAGCGGGCTGCACGTAAATCAGCAGCCAAGGAAGATCTCCATCGCACCACATAGCCCCCGAGCTGGCCAAACCCAAGAGTTCAGAAAGGCAGCCACTGCTCAGAAGCAATTTTTGGGGATGGGGCTGATGGCACCCAATTCCTTGGCACCTTGATGAGCTCTCACCCATCCCATCCCGATCCCGAGTGGGATTTGCAGCCATCCTGACCACTGTGGCCAGGGGAAAGGAGCCAGGGAAGCTGCAGGACATCAGTGAGGAAGCAGTGACCCCCCTGTATGGGGAATGGCAATTCCCAACCATTGCATTTCAGGCCAGCCCTGGGCTACAGCAAGTGCTGTTTTCCTCCACCCAGCACCCAACTGATGCCCCAGCTCCAAGGAAATCCCTCTGGGCACCCCCTTGCTGCTTGTCGCCCCCTTGTCAAGGCAAGTGGCTCCCTAAGGTGCGTCCCCAGGAGCTGTGCTGTGGGCATGGCAGAAGGCACCGTGCCCTCGCGCAGGGATGGGTGGCACAGCCACCATGGGTTCAACGATGGGCATAGGGGCGGTGGGATGCTCACCAGCAGCCGCCTGCAGTAGCCGATCTTCCTGCTGCCATCCACGTTGGTCAGGACGAAAGAAAAGGTTTCGCTGCAAGGAGAGACAATGCATGGGGTTGGGACGGCTCCTCCAGCCCACAGCCCTCAGGGGTGCCCCAAAATGGGGTGGGAAACCACGGCCGAGACCTCGCAGCGGGGCAGGTACCTGGTGAACTTGGTGACGGGGGCCCAGTTGTTGCCGTCGGGGAAGCAGAAGAGGGGGATGGCTTTCAGGAGACGCTCCTCCTCCTCCTTCTGCCCCTTCAGCAAGTTCTCGCGCTGGAATAGAGCGATGCCAAAATTCAGGGTGGTGGATGGTGCCCATAGCCCCAGGGGATGGGGTGCAATGGGGAGCATCCCAATGAAAGGCCTGGCTCAGTCCAAAGCAGAGGGTGCCTGGGCAAGCATCTCCCAAAAATCCAATTTTTGACTCTTTTAACCCATGGATAGTGCGGCAAAGCAGAGGCACCCAGGGGTCCCTATGCAAACAGGGGGCTCCTCCTGTGCCACCTCCCCAGGGTGTGATTTCACTGCTGTGGTCTCTCCCTTTTGGGACAGGAGACCAAGGAGCACCCTGGGATTTTCCTCCTGGGGTTTTGTGGCCCAGGTGGTCCCAGCAACCCCAACCCATGGTGGGCAAAGCTCTGGTGTTTGGGTCTGTGACTCCAGGGCATGGGGTATTTTTCCGTTCTCTCCTAACTCTAATGATGGGGAAGGACCAAAAATCCTCTTTTCCTCTAAATCTGGGTAACTCATCTTTCTAGAAACACAGGACTCAATACCTTAGGGAACTGGTAGGCTATCTTGGGTTCATAACGTCCATCCGGCGTCTTCTTCAGCGACACCACCACCAGGTACTCGAAGAAAAACTGCCCAGCAGAGTAGATGATGGAGCTCCGCTCCCCTGGCTTCCCCTGTGACACCCGCGAGGGGTTGTTTTCTGCAGCAGAGGCCTCCTCTTTTCCTTCTGTAGCCAAAATAACCCCCCAAAACCAGAAAAACATCACAGAGTGAAATGAAAGAGCAGGAGGTGTCCTGATGGTAGGAGAGGCAGGAAGTGGCCAAAGTGGCTGAAGGGAACCAGGACCTGGTGCACAGGGTGTTTTGGTCCCTGGGGACATGGAAAGGAAAGAGAAATGGCTTTTATGGGTCTTTTTGAAAAAATCAAAGTGTTATCAGACACCCCCAGCCCTCCTTTGCCCCATCCCAGCCAGGGCACAGGGACACCTGGGGTGAAGCTGGGATGTGGGGTGGTGGAGAGCAGACGGCCTCTGCAGAAAGCATCTGCGGGAAGGTGTGGGAATGCTTTTATAGCAATTAATTTTATTCCCTTAGGGGAAAAAAAACCAGCAATCAAACAGCACAGATCTGGTTTGAGCACCTTCAAAGGCTCCAGGAAGTTGAATCCCAAGCTCCCCCTGCCAGACGTCCTCAGCCCTGGGAACTGATTGCAAATGAGGTACTCGAGGGTTTTCCCTAAACCACAGCTCCCAAAGCAAAGCCATTCCCTGCCATTACACCCCACTTCTTGTTCGACTGGTTGGGGAGCATCACCTACCACCACCCAAAAAACTAGAAATAAGAGTGAAAAGAGCTCAGGTTGACACCTCCAAGGGCCCTGGGGTGATCGTGGCGGGGCAGCAAGGTCCAAGGGACTCCGAGGAGTTAAATGCCATGGGAAGCTGCAGCCAGGCCATGCCACAGCCCTTCACTCTCCCAGCAGTCGCTTCCTAAATCCCCTGTTGCTGGCACTGAAACTGTCTCGGGCTCGGGCTCAGCTCTGATTATGGTGGGGAGCTGGAACAGGAATGGTTGAGCAACTCCTAGAAATAACAGGCAGGAAAATAAATGCGTGGCTGGGTGAAATAACTGATTCTTCCAATTTGTCCCCGCATCCTGAAGTATGATCCTGGGCTCTTTTGGTTGTGCAGGGCAAGGCTGTGCCCGGCTGCTCCCATTATCCTGCAACGTGCATGACATCCTCCTCCTCATGCAGGACCCTGCAAATCCTCCAACTCCGTAGCCACCTCCTTTAGCCTGGAAACACCTTTCCAGCCTTCACTCCAGGTTATTGGGAGCCAGCGGGAGCAGAAAGCTCATCCCAGGAGGTGACACTCGCAGTCCCATCATGGGATGTCCCTTCCCAGGGACCAGAAATGCCTTTCCCAACTCAGGGTGGGGAGATGTATGAAGCCATCCCTGTGTCCACCCTGAGGCTGCTCCACCTCTGCATGCAAAGTCCTTCCTCTTGGCAAGGTGACATTCATCCCGAAGAGGTCCCTTCACAGTAAGGGAAAGCCCAGGAGCACCCCAAGGATGAGACCTGGCTGCAGAAACCTCTGGTTTGTCCTTGGTGGGGATCTCCTGGGTGACAGCCCAGCAAGGTGCTCCAGAACAGGGAAAAAAGGCCAACAAGATGCACTTTGCTTCTCCAGCTCCTCCTTGGGATGCTCCGGCAGTGGTTTCAGTGGTCCAACTTCACTGATTGGGCCGGGGCAGGAGGTAGTTGCTGTGGGGACCCCAGGGAACCAGGCTGTGCAGTGGGGGGAGGGCTGTGGGCATCTCCCAGCCTCGCTGGATGCCAGCATCAGTTGCCTTCCTGTCGGAGATTGCCAGGGTAAGGTGAAAGCCAGTTAAATCCTGCCTATCCGGTTCCGTCCTGGTTTTCAGCAAACCACGTTGTGCTCTCAAGTGAGGGCTGGAATTGCATTGTGTCCACGGGGTTTTCAAACAGCAGAGTAAAACCCACCACTCCGGGCAGGATGGTCACGCCGGGCTGTGGCTCTGCCCCTTGCAGAAGGACCTCAAAGTGTGACCCGGTGTGGTGAGCCCTGCCGAAATCACAGCATCACCCGGTAGCACTCCTCTGCACCGGATCTGGTTGCGAAGCCCAGCACTCCCCAAAAGTGGCAAAATTCTCAGTGCCCCAGAGACGTAAGCCACTGTCACAAGAGCTTTGGCCAGCGACTCTCCCATAGCCCAAGTGTGGAAGATTTGGGGATCACCCCCAGCCCCCCCAGCAGCAGGAACATCCCCTGTGAGGAGAGGAGAGAGGCAGGCAGCCAGGGGGGACCACGCAGTTCCTGGATGGGAAGCGGCTGTGGGGGATGCAGATTTTCAACCCTTCCTCCCCCGGGCACGGAGAGGGCAAAGGCTGCCACGCTGCACCCTGGCCCATGCGGAAATGGCACCGGGGTGGCTGGTGTTAAAAGGAAAAGCCATTTTGCTGCCTCGACCAGAGCGCAGTTTCCTTATCAGCTGAGAGCTGTGCTCCAACCCGTGTCACGATCTGGCACAACATTATTTCTTTCCTCCCAGAAAAGTCTGGGGCTGCGCGTTGGCAAAATCTCCCGGCCCCACACGACGGTTTGTGGGGGAGCTTGGCTTCCCGTGTTGTGCAGCCACCCACCTGCCCCAGCAGAGAGGAAATGGGTTTATGCTTTATCAAATCTCTTCTGCTGAGCTCGGAAAATCATATCTCACACCCGGAGCAAGAGCCAGCCATCAAAAAACAGAGCTGAGGACCCAAAACCACAGCTTACCCCAACTTGTTCTGCTATGGCAGGGCTGCAAAACCCTAATGATCCATCCTGTGTCTTGGAAAAGCTCACAAATCCCAAAGGACCTATTTCTACACCGTCCTCTGCAGGCTCCCCAGCACTGTCCTGCCTCAGTGACACCGTGTCCCTGCAGATGCTGGGGCTGTCACAGGCTGGACCTGGCCTAGCCAGTGTGAGGGCTCGTGTGGCTCCTGTGGCCACCTTGCCTGCAACGCCACGCTAGGGTGTGCCCTGTCACGGTGAGCAAAGGGCTGGGAAAGCTTTTGGGGGCTGTGATAATGCTGCTGTGGGGCTGCCTTTGGGATGGGGAACAGCCCGGGAGGATGGGGACCCCCCAAGGGATGGGGTGGACTCATTTGGGATGGGGTAGGCTCCCAAGGGATGAGGTGCAGCTCCCAGGATGGGCTGAACCCCCAAGGATGGGGTGAACCCCGGAACCAAACCCGAGCAGGGCTCTGCAGAGCTGGAGGGGACCGATCCGGTGCCGGTATCAGTCCCGGTCCCCGTCCGGCGGCCCCACCCGGG